TAAAAGCTGAAGAAAAGAGTGGCTCTCTTTTACCCGAACCTGGCGAGGCTTCCGTGGCACCCTGTGGCCCATGCTGAGGGAGTTGGCTAATCACTATAATTAATTACCAGTGGCATTGTTTTTCTTCCCCTAAACGCATCACTCCGAGGGAGGGAGAGAAGTGGGCAGCAGCTATTCCATTCCTAGGTCAAGAGGCACTGCTGTGATCTGAGGGCCCGATCTCAGAACCCAAAGTTGCCCTAGACAACTGAGTCGGAAGAAAAGGACCATGTTCTTTTCAGAATCCCAGAGAACAGTGTCAACTTAGAGCAGGCCCATGTAGGAACCCAGAAGATGGGAATTACGACCCCCCCCCCAGCCTCACCCTGGAATGCCTCCTTCTCTAGCTTCCCCACCCCAGACTATGCCTGAGGCACCAAGCTGAGGGCCAAAGACCGGCGGGAAGGGTTCCCTGGACCCCATGCACATGGAGGATCTGCCCTAGTTCTTGCAGTAGACTCAGAGATCCTGCCCACCGAGCTGAAGGCGAACACTTTCTCCAAAGGAGTAACTTCCAGTGAAAGAATTTCTTAAAAACAAAACAAAAATACAGATCAACTTCTCTTCCTCTACTTGGAAATAGGTGAGCAGAGCCAGTTACTGTCTAGACCTCTGGAGGAATGGAATCACTATGAAATAGCTCTAGCTACCTCGAATTACTTTTAAACGATGAGCAGCGATATTGAAATTGTCGTCTGATCCTTTCTTGCAATAGCGATGACTCCAGGAAGAGTTGGAATAGTTCTCTGAGGAGTGAAAAATCGGAGTACTCTTTGGGATAACTCAGACCCAAAACGCCTCCTAGCCATAATAGTCATATACGTGATGCTAGACGCAAGCGGGAACTTCTGGAGTAACCTTATCTTGCTAATTGTGTAGACAAAGGCTTATGAATTGAATAGATTCGAATCTCTCTAGTCCTGGATTTTCGGTTGCCTCATTTTGCTCCAGCGGTTGGAGCTCTCCTTAGCTGTCCCATGAGAGGTTCGGCACCATCTCCCCCACGGTGCTAGGGATGGTAGGAGTTCCCTCCCCGCCCCCACCTCCTTCGTGGCAAAGTCTCTGATCCCCTTCTGCCACGGCAGCAGCCTCTCCGGGAGCCCATCCCCGGTAGAACATCTGCGCGTTTCCCCCTTGATCTCACTCGAAAGTCGGTTTCCGCGGGGGATGGGCCTCAGGTAGGCGCCGGGCGCGGCCTGGGGAAAAACAGTTGCGGAGCATCTGAAGCGGAAAATCCAAGCAGATGTGGGGCGGCCTGGGCCCGCCCCTTTCCTCTTGGGGCCTCAATTTCTTCCAGATCAGTTTCCTAATGGAAAATTTCTAAGAGGTGGGGGGTATGTAGAGGCGGGCTGGTGCACCTCGGGGTGCACCAAAGCGTGCAAAGCAGGACTGGGGGGTGGGGGCGCCTGGTGAACACGCGGTACTCCCAAAGCTTGCTGACCTCAATGTGTGGGCCCCCCTCACCAGCCCTCTTCCTGCCCCCCAGCCTCCCTTCATTCTAGATTCTGCAGGCTCCTTCCAGGGCAGCAGGGGAACTCCTGTTTTGGGGGGATGCCCGGACTTCAGGGTCTTTCGTGGCTGTTATACTTCTCCCCCGCAGGCCCGTCTCTATGCTCTGGGGGAGGCACTCGGAGTTAGCCCCAAAGCATAGACCAGGAGCCCTGGAGCAAGGGACACGCAGCAGGTGTCCCAGCCAGCGGCCACCGCTGACGCCCAGATCACTCTAATAAGCACCTATTTAATGCTTTTCCCACTTTACACAGAGCTTGTGGGTGTCTCTTCTAAGTGTAACAGGGGTCCTAGGCTTTCCTTCTGGTAGAAAGGGCTCGGGGACAGGCACGCTCTGGGACAGGCACGCACTGGGGAGGGGATCGTTCTTTCACTATTCCACGCATAAGTCACCATTCTTACCACCCAGGAAACCTCGAGGTCTGCGTGCAAGTATGTTGGGTACTTTCGGTGATGGGGGCGTGAGAGGGAGCTCAGACCCATCGCGGTGTGTGTGTGTGTGTGTGTGTGTGTATCTTGACTGAATGTGTTGGGGGGATATACAATGCCCGTTTCGCTGTCTGCTGAGGCAGGCTTTAGGATTGGAAGTGTCCCATACCCCCAAGTCTATGAGTCTTCAAACGCTCCGTTGTGCTACTTCTCGAACCCCGCGATTTGGACCCGTCCTCCTGGTGAGAGAGCAGCTGCTGTGAAGATGAGATCACGAGATCTCAAATACGCTTTCCCGGAAAATCCGGGAAATTTGGTTTAAGAAAAGTTTCTGTTACTTGCTGGGTCTCTCCCACTTCCACTTAGCCATGTTCCTGCGATCTGAGTAATCCCTTTCAAGCCTAGGAGGAATTCTCTTGGGTCCATAATTGGGGATCGGAAATCGTGGGGGTGAGAGGGAACGTAGAATCCTCCCGAAGCCAGGGAAGTGCCGGAGCACACTCACAGGCGGCCTTTGCAGCCTGCGGCGGGACCCAGCCCCCAGGCGGCAGTCCCTGCCTCTTGAAGCCCGTTCTCCGGGAAGCCTCAAGACCACAGCAGTCTGCGCAGTCAGGCGCGAGATCCCGGGCAGTGAAGCGGGCCCCGCGCCCTGCGTTTGGGTACTACGTACCCTCACCGCTCGCGCGCCGTCCAGACCCTTCTGCACGCACCGCTGGAAACAGGAAAGTGCTCCTAGATCCAAAACCCCAAGGGAAAGTGCTGCTCTCGGCAGTTGATTGGGGGGGGGGGGAGCACCAACTCCGAAACTCGCGCTGCTCTGTGGTTTCGGAGCGCCAGCCCCGGGAGCCAAGGTCACGGCTGTGGGTTCCGCAGGGCGCGGGGCTGGGGGGGACCAAGCCGGAGTCTGCGCACACGGTCTTGCCCACCGAGGGAGCTAAGACGCCTCCAACGCTGTCCCTTCAAAGGGATCCCCAGAAAAGGTCAGGAGCGCCCGCAGCAGTGTTGGTGGTCCTCTTCTCGCCCCCCCCCACCCCCCCGCTCAGGCGTGAGAGAGGAAGACTGGTCCCCGGTCACTGAGTGCGCGGAGCAGCAGGCTCCTACCCGGCTGGGAGGGAGAGCGGTGGCCGCTGAAAAGGAGATCCTAGCGCGGAGCGCCGCAGCCCCGGCGTCTCTCGGCCTCCGCGAGCCCACCTCAAAATCAGGCGCCCCACAGTCGTACAGTCTGCGGGACTCGGTCGAGGGACCCGCAAGACCCCGTGCCCCGAGTCCACTGCAGCTGCCCTCTGACCCCACGCGCGGGAGAGGCTGGCGTCCTCCCAGCGCGCACATCCGCGCGGTGGCCGCAGTATTCAAACCGCTAGAAGGGCGAGGGTCGGTGCGACCGTCGGGGATTGGAGGAGAGCCCTCTTGGGGTTGCGTGACAGTGGGTAAGAGGGCTCTTGCGGCCCAGTGTGGCCCCGAGGGAAGGCACCAGGACGCCGTATGGCTGCACCTCCAAGTGCGCCTCCCCACTCCAAGGGCTTCCGGGCCCACCACCTTGGCTCCTATCAAGGTTCACTCGATTACTCTAGCTCGGCCACCCCCGGCCTGAAGTACCCACCCCAGCCGCGAGTCTCCGAAATTCCGGCTGCACAGAGTCGGGCTGCTGGAGCGGCTACTGTAGGACCCTGTGCCCGCCGCCGCCGCCGCCGCCCTGGGCGAGGCCTGGCGTCTAGGCTCGGCTCCCCGGCCCCCTCCTTTCGTCTGGCCCGCGCGTCCCCGCGGCCTGCAGCCTCTCCGCGAAGGCGCCGATCTTCTTTCGCTCCTGTGTTTCGAGGAGAGAAAGGGCAGAAGGGGCAGAGGCTCTCTCCCGCTCTTTCCTGAGGGAGGGGGTCTTCCCTTCGGGCCTGCCGCCTTTCGGCCCTCGGACCTGCAAAGTGGGGAAGTGAGGGCGCGGGACCTGCGCGAGGCTCAGAGTATTCGAAGGGCACAAGCCGGAGGATCAAGCCGCCTCCCCTCGGCCGCGCGCCCCCAGGACCTGTCTGGGAGCCACAGGGGAGGCTTGGGCATCCCTCCCTCCCTTCCGTCCCTCCTCCGCTCCTCCCCACCGCCCAACCTAGCGCCCAAGTCCCGCGACCCGCTGGCCGGAGCCGGTACCCACGGCGCGCCGTGTGCACTCACCGAGACTTCCTCGAGGCCGGGAGCGCGCGGGGCCTCTCCTGGGAGAGTCCCTGGAGGCCGCGATGCAGAGGCGCGCCTGTGACTCCGGGGCCGTGGCGGGGTCGGGAGGCGAGATTCGCTGCCCCCGCCCCTGCTGCGGTCCCTCCCCCCGCCCGCCCCCCCTCCCCCCGGGCCGCGGCGGCCGAGTGCTCCGCCCGAAGGCGGGTCCGCCATAAACAAACGCGGCTCGGTCGCACGTGGACCGCGGAGCTGCTGCGGCTCGCGACTGATCGCGGGCTCCGGGCGCCGCGTCTCCAGGCAGAGGGAACAGCCAGGGAGGGCAGGAGAGCGCGCCCGGGCCGGGCCCCAGCCGCCTCCGCCCCAGCTCCCCTCCGCTCCCCTCCCGCTCCATGGCCCCGCGGCCGCCGCCGCCCATGCCGCCCTCCAGTGCGGAGGGGCCTCTCGGCAGCGGGTACGAACACTCGATCAAGGACTAAGCGGCACCGCTGCCTCCTCGCTGGCTACTCTCCACCTCCTAAGGAAAACCGAGACGCGAGAGACAGGAGGGAGAAAGGAAGAGCGAGCAGAAGCGAGCGGGAAGTCGGGCGCTGGGCACCGCGGGACAGTACAGCCCGGAGGCGGCTGCGCCCGGGGCGGCGGGCAGAGCGCGCAGCGGCGCCGCTGGATTGCGCCGAGCTCCGGGGCCCAGAGGCTGCGGAGAGGCTTCTCGGTGCCCCAGGCCTAACCCGCGCACCTGCCCCGGGCGGTGCCCCAGACTCACCTGGCCCCCAGAGTCCCCTTCCCCATCCCTGCCGCTGCAGCCGGAGCGGGGCTCCGAGGGCCTGGAGCACGGCCGGGTCTAATATGCCCGGAGCCGAGGCGCGATGAAGGAGAAGTCCAAGAATGCGGCCAAGACCAGGAGGGAGAAGGAAAATGGCGAGTTTTATGAGCTGGCTAAGCTGCTCCCGCTGCCGTCGGCCATCACCTCGCAGCTGGACAAGGCGTCTATCATCCGACTCACCACCAGCTACTTGAAGATGCGGGCCGTCTTCCCCGAAGGTGAGGCCGCAGGTGGGCGGCCGAGAGCCTCGGCCCAAGCGGGGAGCTGGAGCTGGCTTGAAGCGCCAGTGCCAGGGAGTCTTGGGGAGGCCGCGCCGGGAACTTCGGCTCCTGTTGGAGAGAGGAGCCAGGGTGTTAGCGCCGTGGGGACTAAGACGGTCTTCTGGCCCAAGTGTGGACCCGGCGAATCAGGAATTGTTTTGTGATCATGCTGGTCCATTCTGTTTTCCCTCCTTTTCTTTTCGTTTCTTTCCTTTTTCCTTTCCTTTCTTTTCTTTTCTCTTCATTTCTTTAACTCTCCCTTTTATTTTTTCCTTTTTTCATTCGTATCTCTTTTTCTGGGAGGGGAAGTGTGTGCACCCCAGCCAGAGATGAGACGGGCCTGGGAGAGAGCGGAGTGCACCCGGAGGGCCAGGCCCTGAAGGCCCTAGCCATGAGGAGGGCACTTGTTTGGGGCCCGGGCCTCAGATTTGGGCCTCTCTGGCTGCCTCTTTGCTCCTTTGGGGCTGGGCAGGGCAGGTCACGGTAGGAGAGACCGAAAGTAGGTGAGCTGAAACCTTGCAGGACAGAGAGGCGACTAGAAGAAAAATGGCAGGCAGGCCAGAGCACAGTCTTCTTTTCCTGATTGGAATTATAAACCAGAGGGGCAGGTGCCACGGTGGGCAAGGGGCACCAGGACCCATGGGTCCAGCAGACTCCGGTGGTAAGTAATGGCATGCTGGCCAGCATTCCCTGCTAGCACATGGCCTGTGGGTGACCATGGCTGCCAGGCTGGGCACTTCTGAGCAACAGGGCTGGGGAGGCCTGGTCACCACAGCGTTCCTTTTGGTGTCCGGTGTTTCTCAACCGATCACCATTCAGCGTCTCTGGCCCAGACAGGGTGGCTGCAGCCTGGCACGAGAGATTCTGACTGGAGCTGGGACACTGCATGGGGGGCCTGCTGGGCACTCCAAGACTTCTGGGCTGAGGAGCCCCTAGGGCCGTGTGGAGCTCCAGAAGCCGGTGGGAAAGTAAAAACAACTTCAGCTGCAGGACACGGAAGGTGGCTGCACTGCAGCGACAGGTGTCCTTTGGGTGCAGGCTGCCTCCATTAAAGTGCCTGGCCAGGCGATCAACCAGAAGCCAGTAAGCTTGACCTTTGCATTGGTTGCCCCTAAGCCTGTTATAAGTAATTGGCTCTGGGTCTGGAGCTGCACTTCACACTGCCTCCAGGGCTCAGAGGGCCTATCTCCCAGGGTGACCTGCAGCCCTGCATCACAGCTGGCCAGGGAGTCTAGCCTCCCCGCCGCCCCCCCCCCCAAAGCTAGCGGTAGCCCTTGCCTCCCAGCTGGGCCATGCAGCCTCCAGCGCTTTCCTCCCTGGGGCAGGAATCTGTGACCTGTACCTCCACCCTAGCCCCCGTACAGCTTCTTTCCTTTTCCGACCCCATTATAAAGACGTGCCCCACTCCAGCCCCTCCTACTTGAAGTTGTCAAGCGGGTGGTCACTATTAGTGAGCCCAAGGGTGGTGACCCCTCTACCAGAGAAGTAGAAAATTAAAATTAAAAGAGAATTGGGTTTTACGAGGGCCCAGTCTCCCCCCCCCCCAAGGAGTGGTGGTGAGCCTGTTTTTGTTTTTCTTTCTTTCTTCTTTCTTTCTTTCTTTCTTTTTCTTTCTTTCTTTCTTTTTCTTTCTTCTTTCTTTCCTTCTTTCTTTCTTCTTTCTTTCTTTTTTCTTTCTTTCTTTCTTTCTTTCTTTCTTTCTTTCTTTCTTTCTTTCTTCCTTCCTTCCTTCCTTCCTTCCTTCCTTCCTTCCTTCCTTCCTTCTTTCTTTCTTTCTTTTTAAAATTTATCTACCCCCCCCCCCACCCCAGTGAGCTGTTTCTTAATTTGCATGCTGCAAGCAGGTGGGGAACCAGGACAGGGCCCTGGCCTCCTCTCACGTCCCCACTGGAAATAAACACATTAGAAGCCAGGACTGGAATATTAAATGATTTGTTACCAATGATTTCAAGTAAGCCAGAAATTAGAAAGGGAGGCCTGGAGAAAGAGGGCTAATTGTAAGCCATTTATTGTTTGGAGAATTTCCAGGAAAGCCTGCTAAAAATTGGGAAGTCGTGGGTGTACTGCTTCTGCAGATTTTTAAGAATTGAATCGGGGAAGTGAGTCTCCAAGGCCTTTGAGCCCAGAATTACATGGCCCTGAGCCCTTTGCAGAGGTGGGCTTGCATAGATGGTCCAGGACTCGAGCACCAGGCCCTTGTGCTTTGTTGGGTAGTATGGTTTGGTTGAGGGGTGGCCTGGATGCCTCTTGGGGGTGACTGTCGCAGTTGGAACTCAGGGAGGGGCCCGGAGATAATTGTTTGGCCCTAGAGTTTTGGAAATAGCCCTGAACCTCTGGGGTCTAGATTGATTGGGGAAGGGGAGAAGGCAGTGGTCCGGACCGCCCCCCCCCCCCCCCCCCCCCGCTTCCCACAGGGCCTGAGCAGGGAGGGGGGCGCTTTGCCTACATGGGTGGACCGGGAGGCCCAGGATTCCTCACTTCATTCAGAGGCCTGGGGCCTGTAGCTCTGGGCGGTGGTGCTGCTCCCCTCAAGTCAGTTCTGGGGCGCAGAGTTGTAAAGTTGGGTGCCTGGGCTGAGAAGGAGGCGTTTAGAGAGAGACCTCAATTATGCAAAATAACTCGCTTGCCATTCCGGTAGCTCCAGAGGGCGGCATGCGCTGTAACTGATTTTAGTCTCTGTTCTCGCGCCTGGGTGTGCGCCGGGGGAATGGAGTAGGGCCTGGCGGGGCCGCCTGGATCCGGGTGTCAGCATCAGGGAGGTTTAGGGCCAATGCAGGCCTGCATGGTGTCAGGACCTCCCAGATCTGCTCCGACTCTCGGCTGGCTTCGGGCTGAAAGATGCCAAGTGAAACCGGTATCTTGAGCTCGGTCCCGCTGTTCCATAGTCCCAGAGCAAGAGGGATCCCTGGGTGAAGAAGGGCCTAGAGGCCAAGGCCAAGTTAGGACTTTGGGAGTCAGAAAATGAATAGCACAGTCCAAAGGAACCACAGGCATCCCCAACTAACCCTCAGTCCCTGAGGAAATTGAGGCCAGAGAGGGATGGGCCCTTTCCAGGGTCCTACAGCAAGGGCAAGAGCAGGAGGTCGCTGCTGTGTTCGCTGGCCGCCGCCTGTCCGCTCGCTGCCCATGGCTCCTTTCATCCTGAGACCACCTGGGCCAGAGGAAAGATAGAGGAGCTGGGAGGAGGTCCCCTCCCCCCTGCCCCGGGGGCAGAAAGAGGCATAGGAGCCAAGGTGGACACTCCCCACGGAGGTCAGACTGGCATTGGCGGTGCTGGCAATTTTTATAGCCCGTTCAAAGTTGTGCCCTGTTAAGCTGCCCCACTAGACGCCCCCCCTCCTTGTCTGCAAAATGGACCTATTAAGAACTCCATAGCTGTACAAGGTTCCTGGGATTAAGGGTGAGGAGGCGGAAATCTAATGTGTTCTTACTCCAGTCACTTAGTCCTGGGAGCGCGAGTGTTTCCTGAGCCAGGCATGGCTTAGATGGCAGAGTGCCCCCACTCTGTGTGCCTCTGGGAGTCACTGCAGTTGGAAGACCTGCTATTTTCTGCCCCCCCATTTAACAGCTAAGAAATGGGAGGGAGCCAGGGAAGAGGGCAGGAAAACAAGGCCGGCTTTGGAAGTAGATTCAGAACCAAAAACTCAGGGCATTCACTGGTGGCTGGGAAGGCCTGGTGCACACAGGGCTCAGGGAAGGGCTGGGGCCCATGATCTGCCTGTCCTCTTTGCTTTGTGGCCTTCCTTGTGTTTCTTTGGAAACACAGAGGCACGGGGTGGGCGAACTCTGCTGCTCTCTGGCCATAACGGCTTGGTGACTGTGCCAGGCAAGACAAGTTCCTCCCTCAGGTGATGTACACTGGGCCTCAGGAAGCCCGAGTCAGAGCGGCAGGAACACGAGGCCAATCCGGTGGCTTAGGCTCCTTCCTAGGAGCCAGGATTCCGGAGTCGGATTTGACCCCCAGCCGAGGGGTAGGGGACGGTGTCCCTTTGGACCCTTGCACACAGACAGCTGACAGGAGGGACTGGCCCGTCGTCCCAGCTGAGGAATGGAACTGGAAACTGAGGCTGACTTCCCCAAGGAGAACACAGCCCCTCCTCCTCCTTTGCCAGACCTGAAGACTCTGGACAGGTGCGGCCAAAAGCAGGGGAAGGGAGTGCAACACTGTTATTCTCACACAGCAATAATGGGGGTTTGAGGCCGGAGTTATTCCAGTGGCGGAATTTGCCTGGGTTTAGATTCAGGCAGAGGGCTAGAAATTGTTGTCGGGAATGGAAACGCTTTGATTTAGACGGTCTGGTGAGAAGAAACCCGCCGAGAAGAAACCCGCCCTAAACCTAGACAGATCCGAGCCCTTTCTCTACCGAAGCTCGAAATAATGTAGATTTAAAAAAAGAAAACAAACAAACTTATTTTTTAGAATAATGTGGAGCTTTACAACCCTCTCCGCATCGCTCCGGGAGGGAAAGCTCACAGTCGCCGAGCAGCATGCTGTGAGCTGTGGGCAGCGGTGAAGGGAACTCCGGGGTGCGGGGGCCCCGGCTGTTCGAGGCAGGAACCCGAGCGCGCGCGAGCCGCAGATTCAGCCCCCGGGGGCCAGAACCCAGGCGGCGGCCGGGGCGCTCGGAGGCGCGGCGGAGAAGCCGCTCCGGGCGGCGCCGGGCCCCGCGCGCTCCTCCGTGCGGGCCGCGGGCCGGGCCTCGGTCCCAGCCTCCGAGGTCTCAGCGTTAGGCGCGGCGTTGGGCGAAGTGGTGGTGGGGGGGGGCTTGCGTCTGTTGTCTGAGCACGTACTCTGGCCGGCGGCCAGGCGAGGCCAGACTGTAAGCCCCCTCCCTTCCCCGCTCGGCCGGGCCCGGGGAGGCCTTCCTGGGGCGTCCCCACAACCCCCCTTCACACCCTGGTCCCCGCTCGCTGTGCGACCCTGGGTTTGGAAAAGGGCCCAAAGGCCGGGCTTCTCGGGGACCCCGGACAGAACGAAGCATTCCAAGGCCGGAAGCTGAGGTACTTGGAGGAACCCCAGAACCGTGAGCGTTTGCGGGGTGCTGGAGTCGAGCGAGGAAGGAGCGCCAGCTCTGGGCTCCCCTAGAGTGGCGAGGCGGCAGCCCGGCCCCCAGCGCCCGCGTTACAACCTCGTCCGGGCGAGCGACGCCCGGTAGCCCTGGCCCCGAGCCCCCGAGCCTGCCGCCCGCGCGGCCGGTAATGCTCCGAAAGCCGGGTTGTAAATACCCG